CGACACATAAATAATAAGTATTATTATTATGTTCTGTATTTATTATAAGACTGTCCCCAAAGACTTTCTTGTTAATCATATGCACCAGGGAGAACATTCTGATAAGCTCAGAAAGGCCACAGATACAATTCATCGGAGTTTTAGGCAGGGTTTCAAATAAGGTCGAAAAGTCAAATTCTTCGATTAAACAGAGGGGGAATTCCCATTAAATGCGCCTTCTAATACTCTACCCCTATTTTCTATCCAAGACCCCAGGAAGCCTCGGGTGCATATCTTCCTCCCCACTCCTGACCTCCAAAGATTGTGTTACCAAAGTTAATACTTACGTAAGAGAAACGGGGGGGGGGAGAGAAGATGGGGGCTTATAGACTGTAAGGAAAATTACTCACATGACCAGAGAGGAAGCATACCAACTATTTTTTCCTCTTAATTAAATGTAAATATATTTGCATCCTGGTTTATGCCCTAGTTCTTTTTTTTAAAATTGGGATTGCGGCCTCAGTGCCACTTTTTATGGTCTCCTGACATGACTAGAGTCTAACTAGTCATGTCAGGAGACCACAAAAAGTGGCACTGAACCTGCAATCCCAATTTTTTTTAAAAAAAAAAAAAGAACTAGGGCATAAACCAGGGTGCAAATTTATTTACATTTAATTAATGTAGTCTTAGCTATTGCCTAAGACTCTTATGAACTACCCTGCAAGTAAATTCTGAGTAAGGACACTTCTCTACCCTCCTCATTCAGATGAAAGGAACCTCTCGCAGCTGGGCTTTGGGTCGAATCACTTTGTTAGGAACCACCCTGCTTTGAGGACTCGGCAATGAGTTGACTCCTACTGGGGGGGGAAAACCCTTTTGCTCTACTTTTTCGGTAGCCAACCTGTGCGCCCGCACTACTGCCTTCCGGTTGGTGCTCGTAGGAGTTAAAGATGATGTCTCACCAAGACCAAGTCAGCCCGGGCAGCCCTCCTTCTCCTCCTCCTCCACCCAAAAAATAAGTAGCTCAAGTCCATCTAGGGAAATGCTTGGCGTGAATTCGATCCTAACGCCTTGAATCCGATCCAGTCTAACTTCGTGCTTTAAAATTGGCTTTCGGATCAAGAGGCTCTTTATGCTCGCGTTAACTCTACCCAGCTCGATCTCCTTCCAAAGCTCCAGATTTGGGATAAGGAACCCAATGGCACATTCCTCGGGATCCCCTGGATCGATTGCCGGAGCCATGAAGTAAAAGCAATGCCATTTCTCTCCTCCACACACCCCCACCCCACCCTGCTCCCCGTCTTTCCAGTTTTCGAGACCTCTAACTTCGTTTGTTTATTAATAATCCGGGAGAAATACGTGACGTTTAACAGCCGTCGCTTCCCGTAACCTTCCCGAAGGAAGGCTGCACCCACGTAAACCGAGGTGGCTAGGAAATGATTGTCCTGAAGAAGCTTCTGCTCTCCTGGGTCGCAGGAAATAGGAATCCCGGCCTGAAAGTTCGAGGCAAATTATTTATCGCCTGGGAAGGTGCCCTGCCTGGATACGTGCAGGAAGAGACATTGGGTTGAAATCTGCAGAGGTTAGCGGTGAATCAGCTTTGCCGCTTGTAAACAGAAACCTTTCCTGTCTGAAGCTCGATAGCCACCTGCGATTCCTTCCCCCATCACTACGGTGTTCCATATTTGGCCACTGAGTGAAGGACTTGGTCTGCATTCTTGTGCGTTTTTCTTCCAAGAGTAAAGTCCGCCCCAAGAATGGCCCGCAAAAGCTTTGCCATTTCTAACCCATTTGGATGCAAAGCCCATCAGCGGTAGGGAAAGGCGACCTTGGTAGTTGCTGGTGTGTTTCAGCAACCGCCATCTAAAGTTTTACAACCCTCTTTTCTAAAATGTGCAGGATCGACAGGTGTTAAATGGTGGTTTCTACGGTAGTTAGGACCCTATTCTACCAGTCTCACTTCCCAAAATCGTGCCTCTTTTCTGGGAATGTGGGGCTATTTATTTAGATGAGTGGTTGCCCCCCTCGTGTAATCTACTTTTGCATATTTGTCCAACAATCCAACACAGTATTGCAGTCCACTTTCTCGAGAGAAACCTCTACCTATATTTTTGGTAAGCAACTGCAGACTGCAGTACAGAGACTAGATCCAATCAATAAAGCAGATAATATATCTTTTTATTAGCCCCAGGTGTTGATGGGAGCTGGTACTGTGCTTTTGATTTTTCGACTAATATTTGGCTCATTAGAAAAGTACCTTTGCCTTTAGTTACTGGATAGGAGGGTGTCAACAATGAAAGTCGTCAGGGACCTGGATACCTTTGTGTCAAATTCATCTCTTTTCAGGTAGGTTATTGTACATTTGCCCTCTCTGAATGTGTGAAGGGCTTTCTTAATTGCACTGGGCCTCCTGAAAACAAACGGCAACCCTCCAAACTCCTATTATTTACATGCGTAAAACACAGTTTTGGCTGCGGAGTAGTTAATATAGTCTGATGGTACTGTGCAAAGTTTTCTCTTCCTGCCTGCACCTGGTTTTCTAAATCAGGTTTAAAAAGTTTTTCATACCGTATCAATTTCAGCTACAAAGAGAGGAGAGAGAATGGGGAGAGGAGAAGGAGAGAGAGAGAGATTCAGACTTTACCAAAACAGTAGTCCTCACGGTAACCCCTGGAAAACAACTGCAAGTACTACAAGATTCAAAGAAGTAGGGGCTGCTCCCCCAAAATGAGCTGGCACAACTCTGGAAACTTTCCTTACCAAGCTTTTTTTGGTACAGCTGTTACTTAGAAGTCTAACCAAGATGAAATAAGCTATTTCTGAAACATAGGCCAAAATGAACTTCAGTGAAATCCTTCTCATCAGGCCACCCTTTCCAATAAGGGCATCCAGGGCATGAGTGGATACACATGGGAGAGTCTTGGAAACCTGCAGAATAGCAAGCCACCTTGTCTGGAAGTCTTCTGTTTGACCAGTTGGATGTTTGGAATAATTCAGACTTCCTTAATTTCCTTAATCCAGTTGTATCGCTAAGTGACTTTTTTTCCCCCTCCATTTTTTTCGGCATAAAACTCTCCTTGTTCTGAAATATTTATGGAGAGGGGTTCTTCTTACTGCCTTCAGGAGACGTGGCACCTTATGACGTCCTGGGGGCCCTGGGGTGTCTTTCTCTCTTTCTGGCAGAATCTCAGAATCCCAGATATTAGATCTTGGAAGAAAACAAATCTAGCGAACCGAGAATCTAGGGACGATTTTGGACAAAATCATCTCCCAGAAGATAATTTAGATCTGGGACCATCTAGTAAAGTAAACCAAAGGACTCCTAAGGAAGGCCCAAGGTCTTGACTCTAACCACCAGTGATTCTGGTTGCAGTTTTAAAATCTTAAAATCAATTAGCCCAAGCAGGGTTCCTGTCAGTAAGAAGATCCCAAGCCCTTGTTTTGGCATTAGAAGGACAAGTTCAGCAAAAAGGAAAAGAAGTAGAAAACAAGGCACACGGGAAGGGGGAAGAAATATATAGTTTTCCTATAGAGCCTGAATATTTCTATTGTTTCTTAGAAATGAATATAACTTTATTTTTGTTGATAGTATGGAAATTTGGGGGCTCTTGACCCATTATCACTTGATCTGATGTCTAGAAGCGCCACCAACCTTCCTATTGACACGGAAGCAAGCCTTAATGAAATGAAAGGAAATTGCATCCTGATAGATAAGCGGCTATATGGACAAATTTGAAACAGTACTGAAACTCCTGGGATTTATTTTCAAGAAAATGTGTCAAGCAGGTGTGTTTTTAAAGAATGGAGTTAGATAAAAACAAAGTCCAGAGACCACTTATTCAAACATACACCTCACTGCCCACTAAACTGACAGTTTTAAGAAAAACTCAAGGCAGTTTGCCACTGAAAAAAGCCAGTTGGAGATTTAGGAGTAAACCCTAGACACTATTCAATTGTGATCATCACTCTGGATTAAAATGTATAAGCGACGAGGGGAGTGGAGGGCATTCCCCCCCCCCAACTCACAAGCACCTCCTGTGTAGAATACAGTGTTCCATCCAGAGCTGGAGGCCCCTTTGCCTCATTTTAAAAGCAGCATGCATACACCCACAGTGAAGTGACATTCAATGCTATTTAGATATAGCTACAACGATATTAAAAACAGGTATTTTTTGCTTATTGTATTGGCAATTGGCTAAATAAGGGTTTTTCATCCACAAATCAACGCTTGTGACATCTTGGTTGATGGTGATCCATTTGTTTCTCAGTGATAGATTTTGGGGCATTCCTTTCCTTCTTACTAAACCGGCTGTTACAATTAAAATGAAATTTGAAAGGCTACATTCTTTATAGACTCTTAATGCAGGACAGGTCCATTGATCTGTGTGGGTTTGACTTCTGAGCTGGCAAAGACAGCTCTAACTGGCAAATTAGACAGTTCTTGTCTTTTGTGTTCTTGTCTTTTGTGATGTTAGACTAGGAAATTAGAGAGCCAGATAAAAGGAACAATGCCAGTTGGCCTCCCTTCAAGGAAGTTCTTTCTAATACTCCACTCCCGTTCATTGAAAACTTAACTTGCATTATCTAGTAGACTAGTTTTCCGAAGACGTGGCTTGAAATCCAAGGCGAATCAGAGATATTTATCTTGGCCACAGCCCGATTTTGCTCTCGAATAAAACAAACTGGTCCCTGTGGTAACCGATTCCCCTAGGCCTCCCCCTCCCTGGTCTAACTTTTCCAAAACTTAAAAAAAAAAGAAAGGAAGGAAGGAAAAGAAAGGAAAAAACTTTCAGTGCAGACAGAGAAGCCCTGAGTTTCTCTTCCTTTGTACCGTCCGCAGGCTGCGGGTGCCTTTCTACGTCGCCCCCGAGGGTTAGCTCGGAAGGGAAGGGAGCTTACCCTCCACCCCCCGCCCCGGGCCAGTGCAGCGCCCTTCGGGCAGGACTGAGCTACCTTCCCGCCTGTCCCCGAAGCGGAGCTTTTCCGTGCAGAGAAGCGGAAGGGAGGACGGCTCTACTTACTCGTACCTTTCTTTGGCTTCCGCCGCCCGGTCCCGCTGCCTCCGGTTTTTGAACCAGTTGCTGACTTGGGTGGTGGTGAGCCCGGTGGCCTCGGCCAGTTCCCGCTTCTCCCTGGGGGACGGATAAGGGTTATGGGCGTACCATTCCCGCAGGACGCTCCGGCTCTTCTCCTTGAAGCAGTAGCTGGTCTCCTCGCCATCCCAGATGGAGCGGGGCAAGGGGAACTTGCGGCGGACCCGGTACTTGCCGACTGCCCCTAGGGGTCGCCCCCGCAGCTTCTCGGCCTCGATGTAGTGCGCCTTGAGCCACAGCTGCTGCAGCTTGGGGTGGTTGTGCGCCGAGAACTGGTGGCTCTCCAGGATCTTGTAGAGCTCGCGGAAGTTGCCCCGGTGGAAAGCCACCACGGCCTTGGCCTTCAGGACGCTCTCGTTCTTGTGGAGGTGCTCGCAAGCCGGCAGCGACCAGAGGAAGCGGCCCAGCCTCTCGATGTTCCCGCCTTGCTGGAGCACCTCGCACACGCAAGCCACTTGCTCCTGGGTGAAGCCAAAAGTGGGCAGCATGGACATGGTGGCGCGCCCGGGAAGGCTCTCCTGCCGTCGCCGCCGGCCCTCTTATCGCATCTACCCTGGCCGAAAGGGGGCACCCGTCCGGACCCAGCGCCCCGCAGGCAGCGCCTGGGGGGGACGCCGAGGGAGAGGGGCGGCGGTCGGGGGGGGGCGCGCGAGCCAGCCACGCTGGGCGCCAATGAGGAAAGGGCTCCGCGAGGGAGCAGCCAACCACAGCCCGCCCGAACGGCTGATTTCCGAACGAAAAGCCCCGAGGCTAGGTCAGCGGGGCTGCCCCTGTCCCGGCCGAGGCCCCCATGGAGCCGGAGAAGCTTCGGGCGCGAGGGAAGCTCCCACGCAGCGCCCGCGCCGACGCCCCCCGACCTCGGGGCTCCGGTGTTTGTTTGTAAGTCCCCGAGTTCCGACCGTCAAACTTTGCGCCTCTATTGTGTGAGAGAAGCGGCACTTGCAAGAGTGGAACTTTCACTCTCCCCACCCCCTGGCCGGGCTCGCGAGTTCCTCTTTCGCTCGCGCGCTCCTCGCTCCCTCTCTCTCTTCCCCCCCTTTCTGCCATAGGATCGCTTACATGGAATCAAGTCCTTTAAATCCCCGCTTCCCCTTTCCTTCTCTTTCTCCTCCTCCTCCTCTCCTCTTTTCCTTTTCTCTTTTCTTTTCGTGGCCGATTCTTCTCTTCTTTCCCCCCCCCCCCCGTCCTCCTCCCCCCCTTTCTTTTTGCTCTCCCTTGCCTCTCTCCTTCCAAATGTTGTTCTAAACTGGCATGAAAAAGTGATTAGCCGCGCAGTGATTGGTCCAGTTATCTGACTCGAGGACTGCCAAGGAGAAGACAATAGTTTTAATCAAATTATTTGCCATGGTGACGCTGTCAATCAAAAGTAACCGGATCTGTTGTGAGGTGGCTCCCCGGCTCAGTTGACAGATTGCTGCGAGCCACTCAGAGGCGGACTCTCAGAGCTGGGATGTTACTAAATGGTAGTTGGGGAGTGGGGGGGGGAACGAAGGGGGTGGGGGAGGGGAAAACAATATACGCTGTGATTGACACCGCAAAACACGGAAAGGGGGAAAGGGTTCCTCGAGATCCACCCTGGGCTGGTTGCAGACTGACAGCGGGGGCGCTAGAACAACGGCAGGAACCCCCCTTCGCCAGCCGGCAAGAGCCCCCTAGTTTGAGGGCTTTTCACGATTTCAGAACTCCCAACTTGGGTTGGGGTGGAGGAATTGTAGGAAGCCTGGGAGCAACTCAGAATTGCTGAAGATTTCGGTGGAAGCTCCGGTGGAAACTGAAGAATTTCTTACTGCCCATTAACTTATAAAATGAATCTTTATTTACATTTATACATAAAATATATTTACATTTTTTTAAAAAAAATGAAACCACAGTATTTTTCAAATAATGTACTTTCCCTTTGTCGCTAAGTTGAATCTTATTATTTCAAGCTATAACCTTTCCGCTTGCCAGCCCCAGCTTTCTAAAATTATTCTGCTTTCAAACTCAGTTGCAGCCCTGAAATGAAAAGGAACAGAGATATTAAAGCACTGTTTGCAGATAAACTCTTGCCCCCCCCCCCCACCATTCCGTGGTGGGTCTGTAAAAACAAAGTGGGCTTTGTACCAAATGTGTGTTTCATTTATTTAAATGCACTGATTGATCCAAAGATAAGTAGTAAAAAACAATGTTTCCAAAAAGGTAAGGTTAGGATTGCAGCTTAAGTAACCCTTAGACACAACTGCCCAGAAGTAAGTCCACTGAATTCAATGGTGCTTTCTTTTAAGTAACCACGCAGAAAATCAAGCCAAATATAGGCACCAGTCTTGCCTAAAACGATTTACTTGTGGGCCTAGGAGAGTGGGGAAACGACTTTTGAAAGACAAATAGAGAATACGGTGGCTCGTTATTGCTTCCTTAGAAACTTCTCTCAGCTTTTCTTGACAAAGGACACTTTTTTCATCTCTCTCTCTCCCCCTCGCTCTTTCTCTCGTTGTTTAAAAACCAGACACCTGAGTTGCAAGCCAGAAAGCGCGAAGCACAGTCCACCCATTCAACACAGAATGCCCACCTATCCATCCACTAACCCGCTATAATCGAGGAACCGTTTCATTGCGATAGAAACAAGAGGTACCGGTGCGCTTTTCCTCTTCCTAGTTTTATTTTTCCACCTCTTTTAATTTCACAGGAAAGTGGTGTGAAAGTGATAGAAGGAAATCAAAAGAAAAGAAGCCGACACACATCTGCAAATGAGTGTCAAAGGCAATTTGGAGGAACAAGTGGGTGAATTCAGTTCTGGCAGGATAATTGGGGATCGCAAGCTGTTGGTGTTTCCAGTCTCACTAAACGTCCCCAAAGCTTTTCCATTGGTCGCTTCTCGCCCCTTGGCTACTTCAGCCTTAAGTCCTGAAAAAATACACAGTCCACAGTTGATCACTGGGACCGACTTTTCCTTTCTGGTAAGCTCTTACTAGCTTAATTGACAGCTGGCGGCGGTTGATCTAGACTAGAGTTCAGTTGCCGAAAATGTTGCCGGATTCTAAGCTGATCAACGGATTGGTCCCCCGAATCTTACTCCCCGATCCTACCGCGCCTAACTAGTTATAATAAATGGAATGGGAAAAAAGCATTCCGTCTATGCTCAGCGGAACTTTCGTTAAATACTAAGCCCCAAATTCAGGAGTTGCTCGCGCAAGATAACAGGCGGGGAACTCAGGCTAAGCCCCCGAGCATTAATTCCCGGGGAAACCGAATCTTAGGATAGCTCGTTCGTCTATTGCCTTTCCCAGCCCATTGACGGAGGGGCAAGGAGGAAAACCGAGAAGAAGCCCTGCCGCCTCAGAGACGGGATGGCAGGAAAATGGTGCCGCAGCTGCTTTCATGGATCTCTGGGGATAGCCAGGCGGGAGCCCGAAGGCGCGCCGAAACCTCCAGAACTCGGACAAATGGGAGGGGATGGAGAGACTAGCAAGCTCAACTATGTCCCCGTGGTAATCGCCTAGAGACCCGAAAACCCTTATGGAACCGGGAAAACAGCCCAAAAGCCGCTCCAGGGTTTGTGTGATAACTGAAAGGAACTTTATTTGAAGAGCAAAAGGCTTCGGTGACACCTCCATTCGCATCAAGAACGACCTTCTCGCCCCAAAGTTGAGATTCGGTACAAACTTTCTTTTTTGCTTAAAAAAAAAGTTTAGATCTTGTTGGAAATACTTTTTCTAGGACTCTGAAAAGTCGTGATTTGAAAAAAAAAACAAAAACGGGAAACTCCTCGGTTCCCGCGGGGCACTTCCTGCATCCCGGGAGCCTTTGGCTTGTTCTAAGAACTTCACTGTTCGATGCGCCCTATCATTCGCGTTTATTTCTCCGGCTTCTGGAGGTAGTTTTTAATGGAGCTGTTGCCTCCACTTTCCTTGCCGTAACTTGGCTTTGGGAGCGTGAAGGTCGAGTCGTTTTATCAGGAAAGGGGCGATCGATCCCCAGGGGTCACATCTCTAATTAAACTGCTTTCCAAATCGGAGAGGGAGCGCAGCAAACGGACACGAAGGAACTAGGAGCGTTATCCAGACGGAGCTTTATCCCGCCGACTTCATCTCGGCTGCACCTCCAGACTGCACCGCATAGTAGAAGATGGAAATCAGTAAGATTTATTCCCCCATTATGTGAGGACCGTTTTGGGGCAGGATAGAGAGAAAGAGAGTCTCTCTGTCCTAGGAAACGCTTATATATATTGCAATTTAGGGGACGATCTTAACTGTTGCCTGCAGTACCTAAATCCCAACAAGGAGACAGAAGATAAGGAAACGGCTCTTGCGGTTGAAATCAGCGGAGCTTACTCCCCGAGAAGAGCTGCCGTACAAGACCGAGTCGCTGAAATTAATTCGGCTGTGGAGTCCGATTAATCCAAAATTACTAAATTGCTTGTCCAGGAACAATAAAAGGCAGACCAAGGAGACCCGAACAAACGGGAAACTCTTTAGTGTTAAGACTCCAAACCTCAACAAAACAAAAATACAACTTGGGTGCTAAAGGCGTTGTGTTAGATAGCAGAGACGGCACTACACTTAGGCTGAATTTAGTGGGACAGCGAGTTGCCATTAGATTGCATTAGACATCAGTGTCATTCTAGGAGCTCTAAGTTCCAATGTCACCCCTGAAATGAATTTTTTTAGGTGGCCACCGCTCGCCACTCCATTTCCCACCCGTAGTTAAAGACAACAGTAACTCGTGTCCTCTACCGGTTTGCAAGAACTGTATAGTGAATGTATGAACGAAGCCCTCCAGACACTTGGAAGCACAATATCCATCTTCATTCCCCTTAGATTGAAGCGTCACAGACCCAGAGACAGACTCCAGAGTGTCCCCGGAACACGCGGCAGGTCTTTTCTAAACTGGAAAGGAGCAGAGACATAGAGCGGCGGTCTTCCCCCCCACCCTTTCTGCTCTCAAGGGTTTCTTGGACGCAACTTGAGGTCACTTGCTCCGATCCGAAAAACCAGGGCAGCTGAGAAGGGTGGGGGGTGGGGGTCGGAATTGGGAAGGGGCGGGGGCGATAAGAGAACAGCAGCTGTTCTCCTTAGCCGGAAGGGACGTGAGCCTCTCTTTTGGGGGCTGATTGAAGATACCCTCCTGCTTCTGCATCACCATGGGAAAAGCCCCCCCCTCCCCCAGTGCTATGGGAAAAACGGCGTGGACTCCTTGGTTCTCTCGAGCCCAGCAGAGATTTATTCACCGCTTTTTAACTCGGGAAAAACGTCTCATCAAATCCTGTACATTGACTCGAGCAGAAGCGGATTACCGACCTCGTTGATCGCGCAAATTGTACCGACCCTACCCAACCCAACCCCGTCTTTCTTTTGAGAAAGGCAGAACATTTCGGGAAAAAGAACTTGGAAAAAGTCAAAAGGGTTCGGGAAAAGAGCGTAGGTCCGAAATCCCTGGGACCGATCCCCTTCTTTTGAATGTACAGATGGAGCCGGCGTTGACTTCGCCTTCCGAAGAAGCAAAGCAAGACGGGACTCAGCTGGACTGGGATCCGTCAGAGGGTGGTGTTGACAGAGTAAAGTTTATTATTTTTCACCTTCACGTTTTTCAATTCTGTTCGGCTGCTGGAGCCAGAAATCCAATTATGATCACCAGTCAATGTCCCAGTCCCTCTCCCGGTTGGGACCTTTCCGACAAGCTTGCTCTCCCCAGCATTCCAGGGAGTGAATTTTCATCTGAAGTGGGGAGGGTCGGTGGGTGGGAAATGAGAGGCTTCTCAGGTCGAATAGCGATTCGCAGTAAGGGGCCCTCTTTCAAAGTCTGAGGCTTTTGGGTCTCCTTTCCATTAGTCCGAATAAAAAAATAGCCATTTGAGGGGAAAGCACAGACAATCACAAATACAGGCACCCCAGGTAGCAAGTCTTCACTAAGGTCTTTCTCATCTGAACTGTCAAATTTCGGGCCACCACTAGTGGCAAAGATTGCTCTTTGCTTCCACCTTGTGGTCGCCTGGAGCTTTGCAGCACCAATACTCCACTTTCTTTGCATTTGGACGTTTCATAAATATTCAAGAGGACTTTCTTCTGTAAGAACAACAAAAAAAGGGGGGGGAGGGGAATAAAGCTTATTCATCCGGCTTAGCTTATTCTAACTACTCCTGTATATTGAGCAGGTGCGTCATAGGAAATATATTCGGTATTTGATGAATTGCAGCCATGAACGAAAACCTAAAAATTGGCATTTGAACCTCTGGGCTTTAACCTACACAATAACAATCAGTAAACTTTTTAATAAATGCAACGGGCAGTAAATCATCCGATTTCTAAATTTGCCTGAAAGAATGTGCTTGCTTTTATTCCACCTTTCCTTTAGGGAAATCAAGGCAGTATTGGATAAACTTGCAAGCTGAGTTCCCTACCAGAGAAAGCGCTTGGCTCCTAGCCGGTTTCTACGGTATTTTCATTTAAAGTCCAGAGTGGCCTCTGCTAAACCGGGCTGTGCACCGGATTGGGTCTACCCATATCCCTGCGAGCAGTTTGGGGATTGTAAATTACTAACAGGATTCCAGGCTGGATGTAACCAAAACGTCTCTACATTGTTTTTGTTCTTGATCTTGTGCTGATTTGCTTTTGGAACAATAAAACGGATATTTTTGTCTCTCAAATGAAAGAGCATCAGGATAACCTCTAATCATCAAAACTCTTCTTTTGAGAACAGTAATTCCACGTTATCCTTTAAAACCACTTACATTGGTAGCTTCTTTTTCAAATCCATATGGCTAATAGTTACAAGTCTTAGATGTGTGATGACGTTTCCATGGTGGTAAACCTAGTCTTATTAGCAGCGCTAGAAGAGCCATTGGAGGAAAGGGCAGAATGCCTTGTCGTTTCAGTCATGTAGTTTCAATGGAGTATCTCGAGAACTTTGGAGTTCTTGAGCACAACTTACCTTACAGGGTGGCTGAGAAGATAAAAGGAAAAAGAATGTGCATGTGTACTTTTCTGAAAATCTTGCGCTGAAGGGGAGAGGGAGAGGGAGGGAGGGAGGGAGAGAGGGAGGGAGGGAGAGAGAGAGAGAGAAGGAGAGAGAGAGAGAGAAAATAACCCAGCAAAATGTTTAACTAGTTAGGGAAGAATTTTCAAAAATTAGTCTAGCAGAATCCTTGTGTTTCTTGCTTTGTGTATTGAACCTCTAGAAACTAAAGGCACCTTTTGTTCTGGATCCTGCTAAATTTCAACAGTTAAAACAATTTTTATAGCAACAGTTAAACTAATGTACTTAGTAGCAAAGATGTTGGCGGTGAAGATTATTAGCAGGGCTGACAATGTTGTAAATTCTTCTAGGATCACACAGATCCTTTTCTAGGCACAGGGGAGGAGTGATTTTTGTTATCGAAAATGAACAGCTATTTTTCAATAGCCAATATGACCAGTTGCGCTATAATTCCTAGTGCTGCGTCTCTTATAGATCAATAATACTGGCATAAAATCCTTGGAATTCCAAGGGATTTTTCAAGGATTGCAAATCCTCAAGAAAGCCAAACCTCCACCACCACCACTTTTTAAGTAAAAGAAAAATAATAAAGGGAAGGAATCCAGGCCAGACAGCCCTACCCCTTTTCAAATAAAGAAGGGGAGCAGTTTCAAAACTATTTTTTAAAAAATTTTAAAGCGGTATTCAAATTCAGTGGTGGTGATAGTGTGGAGAACGCTTTCCCGATGAAATGCTGTTCACGAAACGCCTCGACCTGACTCGATCTTCTTGAGTTCCAGCTCGGAGACGGTTCCCTTGGCGGCTAAATACCCAGTGCCACCTTCGGTGAGACCTCGGCGGAGTGGGGACAGGGGAGGAGGGGGTTGTGCGGGCAGAATCCTACCCAGTTTTACGTGTCTGATTGGGGAACTCTTTTAAAGAGAACCCGAGAGCTGCGGGATGAGATTTTCAGATAATGTTGTGACTAACTCAATTATGCTAAAAAACTTGGCCTGAAAGTAAGAAACAGTGTGCTAGGTATCATTACGATGGAGCGGGTGATTTGAAACGGGGTCGGGCCCCAGAGGCAGGGAGGGTTGCGGCAGGAGAAGATGGATCCCCCTCCCCCTCCCCCTCCTCTGCATTCAGTGTGTTTGTGCAGACTCTTCTATGTGGCTCTTTAATGGGTAGACTGAGTACGTGGACCTCCGTTCCTCTTCTGTGCTGTTAACTGCCAGGATGTGGCTGACCACGTTAGAACTCGGTCAAATTGGATAGATTACAATACTAAGTAGCCTTACCTGGGAGTAGTAGTGCTACTCAGTTTTGCACCTGTGGAAGGGGTTTCCCACCTTTCAGTAATCCCCAGGGAACCAAGTCTTCCATCTTTAGGCAGAGGAGGAGGAGGAGGACATGTGATGAGTTAGCTTTGAGGTTGGGATCCTATACAATCGATTTGGCACAAGTCGCATGAGAGGAAAAACTGTGGTGTGTTTTTCGAACTGGAGCCAGATCCAGCAGAAAAATGACACACACACCAAAAAAATCCCCCATTGATTTCAAGGGAGAGCTATGGACATGCACGCAAGGAGCTTTATCTGCATTGCTGCAGCCATGCTGCGCGGCCTTGATCACACAACGGTGTCCTCATCTCAACTGCAGGCTCCGATGTCGAGAAAGTATTGGGTTCAGAGCAGCCTTTCCCTTCATGCCACCGCTTGAAGATGATTCAAGTCTGTCATGCTTACCACGCATTCCCTTGAAATTCCCGTGAAATCAGGTGACTTGTGGTGTAATCGGAGGAGTGTTTCGGGAATGTTAAGAAACGCGGGCTCACCTGTCCCTCTTGCTCATCAGCCTGACTCTGGGGCTTCTTGCTTCTTAGGTTCTTTCCATATCCATTGGTCCCCAATTCCATTTTTGATACCTTTCTCTCCATAATGTCATCAAGATAAAGAAGGAAAGAGCAGAGCAGAGAGCCACAATTGCATTTGGGGGGAAAAGACGGGGTCGTTCCCGCACTATTCCCCTTTAATGGAATTCTTAAGCTTTATTTAGAATTTAGAAAATTCACACTTTTCCTCGTAGCTGTATCCAACAACAACAACAAAAAGGTGCTGAAGCTTTGGGTTGCTTGCTTGCCTGGCAAGGAAGCCTCGAAGATGACTGTTCAACCAGTTTTCCCCACTCCATAGGAAGGGACCGCATCCACCTCCTCAAAGCTGAGTTATTTCATTCCAAGGAGGAAATTTTGCCCCTCTCTCCTTTCTGCCGCTCTTTCCGCCTTGTATGTTGCTTTATCGTACCACATTCAAACTCTGGAGATGCTCACCAGAGAAGAAGAAGCAGACAACTCAGCCCAAAGAAGTCCGAGGGAAGTCTTCATGTCACTAGATCTTCCCCACTGATACATTATCCCTCCCCCTCCCCCTCCCCATTTCGCCCCGGCTTGGGACATTTTGCAGAAGGTGGTAGCAAAGTCCAGAGAAAATACTTAGTCGGTTTGCTCCTAATGAGAGGTTCAATTCATCTCACAATTTAAGGGGTCCCTGGCTGGGTAGGGATTGTGGCAAGGGATTCCCCAGCGCATTTTACGCTGGCCTTCTTGGGCGCCATCAGGGATGAATATCTTAGTGATTCCTGAGAATACCGCGGTTTGCTTTAATGATCTTGGTTTATTAATCTTTTTATGGACAACTGACGATGGTTTCCGGGTCTCAGACTTCCCTGAGTTTTAATGATCCGATATTTCAGAGGTGGGAAACCATGGTCCCTTTATGACTTGTGGACTTCAACATAGCTGGCTCAGGAATGCTGAGAGTGTTGAACTCCAGAAATTATAAAGGGGCTATCGTTCCCCACCCCTGCAATATTTCATTGGTTTTGTCTGGGCACATATCAGGGCAGTGGGGTTGACTTCCAAGTTCATTGAAGGTCTCTCATTCCCTCGGTAAAAATCAATGGGACATCTGCATCTTTCCATTTGTCTGGAGAATCGCTGGAAGTGCTCTTGTTACCCTTTGCACACTAGATTCACGTGGACTAGAATCTCCACCCTATGTTTCTCCTAAGGAATTGAGTTCCCCTGAGTACATACATTCTCTAATGAAATGAGCACTTGTCTCGGAGTAAGCTCACGAGTTTGCTCCTGAACAAACATCAGAGGTGAATTGGGATCCCAGTCCAAGGCTGCACGCTCCGCTCACAGTATGTGCCTTGACAGTACAGTATATTGAATCAGCAAGAAAACTTCAGCGCATCAGATGTTTTTCCGGGATGGAACTCTGAAGCGGAACTCGAGAGACCAAGTTCTAATTCAGCCTCTTAAGAATTTGGTCGCAGGGGGTGCAAGCGCTGCCCGGGACTTACTCCGGAGAAGTGGGTGCCGGGGTGAAAGGTAGGGTGAAAAAAGCAGCCAAAGCAAATCGCTGGCCCGGCCAGCGAGCAGAAAGTGCCCTTCCTCCTTTCCAGATGAGGCAGAGGTAAATTCCTGTCCTCGTCTGGGCTCCTAGCTGCCCAACAACCTGGTAGTCTCCAGTTTAATGGGGCGCTCTTGATTACCTTGCCCTTGGAATGTCTCCCCTGAAAACCTAGCTGGGAACAGAGCAAGGGGTGATCGGTGGGTCCTGCTGATCTCGGTTGCCTTCTCTTCCAGGAGAACAAGCAAATGGAAAGAAAAGCCGAGTGGAGACCTAGGGAGACAAAAACGAGGGCCAGACAGAGAACCCTCATTGATTAAAGCCCAGCCCAGCCTCTCCCACTGAGAACGAATGAATGGCACAACTGTAGAGAGAAGCGAGCGCAGGAACCTTTCGCTTATCCAGCATCTACGCTAAACCTAAAGCGGGCAGGACAGCAGCGCTTCAAAAGGAACTTAAAGCTTACAGTATGGTCCACCGGCACGTGCTCGCCCGGTTTACCCGGGAGTGATGGACGGATAGCTCTTTTGCGGCTATCAAAAACAGCAGATGCGGATTCGCTGTTAGTATCTGTTACATTCCTGGAGGCAACGGTTGATATTCCTAGACATTAACTAGCTCACAAGAAATCCAATATGCAATTAGATCAGTTTTGGCCTGGGTCTCCTGGGTTCCCTCTTTAGATGGACCCAGATGGGACTCTTGAAATCAGGGGGACTGGAATTATGAACAGCCAGGGGCAAGAAGCAGAATCGCTGCCTCTGGTGCCAATCATGCCCACGCTGCTGGGAGGAACTCCAGACTTCGCCTTCGGGCACCAGTTCCACTCTCTTCCGATCCAGATGTTTCTGGCCAACCGGAGCTCCACTCATTTCGGACCAAGCCCTAAGTGACCATTAGCCGCTCGGGTTTACCCCCGGTTAAACAGAGATCATCTGGATATGTTTTATCTGTAAACTGGGTTGGGTTTCCTGTTTATACCACTGGTCTTCCCTTCCCAGTGCTATATGGCTGGTCGGACTACATCTCCCATTTCTTATCAGACGATGGGAATAGCAGTCATCGGGATATCATTTGTTGAGGGAAGACGGACATTGATTCCCCCCCCTCCCAGAAAGAATTCTATTTCTGACACTTAATTCATGAAATATAGAGATCCATTGATCTCTTACATTGTATAACAATAAAAGGAGCCTGAGTAAGCGCCACCGTTGGCCTTCCCCTTCATCTAGGGCAGTATTTCTCAACCTTGGTAGCTTGAAGATGGGTGGACTTCAACTCCCAGAAACCCCCAGCCAGCGCTGCTGGCTGGGGGATTCTGGGAGTTGAAGTCCACCCATCTTCAAGCTACCAAGGTTGAGAAATACTGATCTAGGGCAAGAGGTTGAACGCTGGAGCTAACCAAGGATGTGTATCAAAAGAGTCAAGACGGAGGCCAATCACGGTGTGATTGGACTTCCCTAAAATGCGACCGGAGGTTTTTTTTTGACCGTACAGTCGTGATGTGTTGATCATACAGTCGTGATGCCCATCTTGATTTTTTTTTTTTTTTTGCCATATACCGCAGGCGCTCCAGTTGCGTATAACGGGGACGATTACTTTGCACTCTCACTTGAGAAACCCCAATGAAAGCGGTCAGAGCAGGACGGGAGGCGGTTAGCGGAAGGAACAGTATCCGAGAAAGAGGGAAAGTGCAGGGAGAAAGTTGCTGCCATAAACTCTCTCGCTGCAAATTCCTGGATTGCTGGCCTTCCTGGTTAAATGACAAGAGGCAGGCTTCTGGGTTTTTTTTTGACAGGACCGCTTTTTTCTTTTTTTTAAGCGCAGGGTTCATTTGAGTACAGGTAAGAAGTAGGTAAGAGCTGTATAAATTAGGTTTTTTAAAAAAAACACAAAGATTTATATACGACTTTTCCCTCAGGAGGAATCTCTCTTCATTTAACCCCCGCTCCCCCTCCAACAAGCTGATCAGATAGCCGGTCTGTTCCTGAAGTAGAACTGGTTTGAGACAGACTGACTGCCCAAGGTCATACAGTAAGGATGGACTTGAACTCTTGGCCTCTCGGTTCTCCGTTCCCCATTTTCCCCACTGCCGCTCCCCGCTCTCCTTTTCCCTGAGAAGCGGAACCGTCACAGCCAGGCAGGTTCACACCCCGGAAAAGTGAAGCTTATCCCCCTCATCTATCTTCCAATTAGAGGCTTTAAGTGGGGGGGGGGGTGTCTCACCCACAGTGTTTCGGATCCCAGCAGGGGCAGCCTATTTGCTGTTTCATTAAACTTTATGATGAGAGTCCGAATTTACTTTTGCCTCCGATTTTTTGGCCGTATTCAAAGAGATGAAAGTTACTGCTGGACCATCTCAACTTTGGGGGGGGGGGGGAAATATTCCAGTGAGGTACTTGTTAAAAGCAATGGATGATTTCACAG